AAAAAAAAAAAAAAAAAAATTAGCCGGGCTTGATGGCGGGCACCTGTAGTCCCAACTGCTCGGGAGGCTGAGGCAGGAGAATGGCGTGAGACCGGGAGGCAGAGGTTGCAGTGAGCCAAGATCGTGCCACTGCACTCCAGCCTGGGCCACAGAGCCAGACTCCGTCTCAAAAAAGAAAAAAAAGATATGTCTTCAACACCACTGTGCTGCTTAAAATTATTATTATTATCATTATTTTGAAACAGGGTCTCACTCTGTCATCCAGGCTGGAGTTCAGCGATGAGATCATGGCTCACTGCAGCCTCAATCTCCTGGGCTCAATCTATCCTCCCACCTCAACCTCCCAAGTAGCTGGAACTACAGGTGCAGGCCATCATGCCTGGCTAATTTTTTGCTTTTTTTCTTTTTTTTGGTAGACACAAAGTTTCATCATGTTGCTCAGTCAGGCTGGTCTCAAACTCCTGGGCTCAAGTGATCCACCTGCCTTGGTCTTCCAAACTGCTGTGATTACAGGCATGAGTCCCCGTGCAGGTCTGCTTGAACTTTTTAAATCAGGGGTGGGGTGCAGTGGCTCACACCTGTAATCCCAGCACTTTGGGAGGCCGAGGTGGGCAGATCACGAGGTCAGGAGATTGAGACCATCCTGGCTAACATGGTGAAACCCCATCTCTACTAAAAAAAATACAAAAAACTAGCCAGGCATGGTGGCTGGCACCTATAGTCCCAGCTACTTGGGAGGCTGAGGCAGGAGAATGGCATGAACCCAGGAGGGGGAGCTTGCAGTGAGCCCAGATCACGCCACTGCACTGTAGCCTGGGTGACAGAGTGAGACTCCGTCTCAAAAAAAAAAAAAAAGAAAGAAAGAAATGTTTTAATCAGGGAGAAGCATCTCTCTCAACCCTGGACAGCTTGCAAAGCGATGGAGATGGGAAATTTATTAAATATGTATATATACACGAAATACACATTAGAGTAATCTATGTCTGTAAGTAAGACTGATTCTTGATTTTAGCACTGGTGAAAACTTTGCTTTCATTTAAATATATGTGATGATTAGTTTTATGTGTCAACTTGGCTAGGCAAAGTGTCCAGTTCCTTGGTCAAACACCATCCTGGATATTGCGGCAAAGTTATTTTTTAAGATGTGATTAACGTTTAAATCAGTAGTCTTGGAGTAAAACAGATGTCAGAGGGGATTTATCAAGTGTTACCTGCCCATTCAATCTGGGAGTGTCCAGAGGACACCACTTTCACCACATCTATGAGAAATAAATTTGTGAGGGGCGCCCTAGCACCCTGGAAGAGCTGTGTGGTCACTCTTTTTTGCAGGTAGAAATTCAGTGGAAACTGCTGCCGCTGAATTGGGAACCCTAAATGCAATGGCGATAATTTGGTCCCAGTATGGCAGGGGCCAAGGGACAGCACTTAATTGCCAAAGGCAGCATGGGCCTGGTTGCTGTCATGGATGGCACAGTCAAAGCAGAATAGTATGACTTGCAGGCCAGGAGCAATGGCTCACGCCTGTAATCCTAGCACTTTGGGAGGCTGAGGCAGGTGGATCACTTGAGCTTAGGAGTTTGAGACCAGCCTGGCGAACATGGCAAAAGCCTGTCTCTACCCCTCCAAACATACAAAAATCAGCTGGATGTGTTGGTGCCTGCCTGTAGTTGTAGCTACTTTGGGGGCTGAGGTGGGAGGACCACTTGAGCTTTGGAGGTCGAGGCTGCAGTGTGCCATGACACTGCTCTCCAGCCTTGGACAACAGAGCGAGACCCTCTCTCAAATAAAAAGAATAATATGATTCACAGAGACCTGTGGTGTTGGCTAGTTGATCATGGTGGTCGTACGAGCAAACAGAGGAGTCAGCCTACAAAAATCTTACTCATCTGTAGAATCAAAATATCTATTTCCTGTCCCCATGACTTTATGCTTTGCTGGTCTCAAGGTATTAGTTCCAAAAGGAGGAATGCTTCCTTGGGAGACACAGTGATTCCATCAAACTGGAAGTTTTGAGTCCCACCAGGCCACATTGAGTCCTCAGACTTCTGTATCAACAGGCAAAGAGGCTGGGCACTGTGGCTTACACCTGTAATCCCAGCACTTTGGGAGGCCAAGGTGGGTGGATCACCTGAGGTCAGGAGCTTGAGACTAGCCTGACCAACATGGAGAAACCCCATCTCTACTAAAGATACAAAATTAGCCAGGCGTGATGGCGCGTGCCTATAATCCCAGCTACTCAGGAGGCGAGTCAGGAGAATCGCTTGAACCTGGGAGGCAGAAGTTGCGTTGAGCTGAGATCACGCCATTGCACTTCAGCCTAGGGAACAAGAGCGAAACTCCATCTGAAAGAAAGAAAGAAAGAAAGAAAAGAAAGAAAGAGAGAGAGAGAGAGAGAGAAAGAAAGAAAGAAAGAAAAGAAAGAAAGAGAGAGAGAGAGAGAGA